TGTCACAGTGAATTTCTCGTCACAGTGAATTTTTTTGGCTGGTACCATAGATTCACTGTGACGAGGTTAGACTGTATTGGTTCTTCATTTATTTGATTATCCTCCTCCACCTCTAATTGAAAAAGTTTCTGCTGCATTTGATAAAAGACTATTACAAATGTGGGATTTTTTGAAATATTTAATAATAAAAGATTTTTTACTAATAAAAATTTAAAAATACCTACCTATTATAGATTTTGTAATGAGATTAACAAAATGAGCAATACATCGAATATTGATGATTGTTGGATATTCTTTTGATATTAATTCTCGAGCTAGTTTTATATTTGCAGCATTATCAGTTACACCAGCACCAAATTTTTTTACTCCAATTTTAGTTAAAACAGTTTTTATTTCAGCAGCTAAAAATTGACCAGTATGATGTGTTTCAGAATAATCCTGAAGACAATATAAAAATTGTTTATGATCAGGAGTTAAAACTAAAAAATTATAAATAGAAAGAGAATTAGGTGAAGTCCACCCATCTAGAGCTAATATATTAATTAGTAATAAAATAACATTAACTAAACAATATTTGTAAAAATAAATATTTACCAAGCATTAAATTTTCTGCATTACTTAGTTAGTTCCTGATCAATTTTTAGGTTAACTTTTGAAATTTCCTTACTTAATAATTGTCCAGCTAATGTTTGTCGTGATGGAGGATGATAATTTGCTTGTAGTTGATAAAGCAGTTCTCGAAAAAAAGGATTATCAATTACACTGAATGGAATCCCACAACAAACAAATGCTCTCACAAGAGCAATGTTAATGGCTTCAATTTTTCCTTCTGATAATTCTTTATTTTCATAAAAGTCATCTATTGTTTTTTGATCAAATTTTATTTTTTTATTTGAATTATTTTGATTGAAATGACATTCTAGAATTTCTGGAACTTGTTGATGTAATATCTTCAGCCAAATTTTCTGTTGATAAAACTTCAAGATAAAATCTTTGAATCATATCAGGACATGCTGGACAATTATTGGCTAAATGAGCTTGTAATGATTGTACATAGGCTCTGCCCCAGTGTTGTTTGCAAAAGTTGCACTCTGCAGAGTAATGCCCATGTGAATTAAGTGGGGTTTTAATAAAATATTCCCACACTTCATTTTGCCTTTGTCCTGCTGTTTTTTTTGTTGACATATATATTCAAATAATAATTTTCCTCTTATAAATATTGATATTAATGTTATAAATTATTCTTATTAATGTTCTTATTAATGTTCTTAGTATGTTCTTATTAATGTTCTTAGTATGTTCTTATTAATGTTCTTATTATTGTTCTTAGTATGTTCTTATTAATGTTTTTATGTTCTTGTTAAAATTTGAACTAAAAATAAAAATTAATAGCTAAAAAAAAATATTTAGTTCTTTACTCTTAGTGAGAAGGATAGTATAAATAATAATAAAACAGCCTAAAGGCCTAAAATAATGATATTAATTTCAATAATTTCAAAAAAAAATATATATTATTATTATTATTATATTAATTTCAAAATAAAAATTTTAATTTTCTGTATTATTTATAAACTATCTTATATTCTTATATTATTGTTCTTATTTCATTAAAGTTTGTTATATTAATGAGAAGAAGATGAATGAACATATATATTAAATCTTTTGGAAAAAAAAATATATATATATATATGGGAGTTGGACTAGGAAAATCAACCTCTCAGTTGATTTTTTTATTTTGAATTTTCTTACTTAATATTAATCTA